CCGACCTTCCGACAATAGAAGAGTTGATCTGGGGCTTGCGCCGGCCACATGAGCAGGTGATGCGCGCGTCTTTGTGGTTGAATCTTTCGTGGTAGTCTGCGAAGTCTCCGTGGGAGCTTCGTGCTGCCAAAAGATGGTGGAGTGCCGGCCTGGGGATTAACAGTTCCTTCGGACATCATGTGGTTGCTTTGAGCTTCAGCTCTTTGTACTTCTCCGGCATATGTTCTTGCCACCACGCCTGGAATGCTTCCTTGGTTTGTTTCTTGGCCGTTCTGAAATGCTTCCTTGGTTTGTTTCTTGGCCACCCTGCGGATGTACGCGAGGGTTGGTTTGGCGTCTGGGGGTTCTGGGAGGGCACAGCCTGCATTCGCGAGTGAGTCGGCTTGCTCGTTGCCCGGGATGTCGGGGTGGCCCGGTATCCAGCGAACGTGGATGGAGCCATGTGCGGCGGTGATCTCTTGGAACTTGACGAAGGCCGATTGGGATGAATCCGATGCTGTGCCTCGGAGGCAGGTGGCCGCAGCTAGATTGTCTAAGCAGACCACGATCGGGTTGTCCGATGCGTCGGGGATCTTGACGGCAGCGCGGAGGCCTTCGAGCGCGCCAACTAGCGGGGCCAAGGCGCCCAGATCCTTCGCAGATGGTCACACTGTTTTGGTGGACTGCGTATCCGTATCCTGTGGCCCCGCCTGGGAGCTGGGAGCCGTCTGAGTAGACGACGAGCTCGTCGGAAGAACTTCCCTCGAGCCACTTGAGAAAATCTGCCGCCGACTCATCCTTATTCTTCGTCTGGAGAGCCAGGGTCGTTTATTCTTCGTCTGGAGAGCCGTGGCTGCTGTGTCACCGGCTTGGACCAGGGTCGGTCGGGGACAATCGGGAAGGAGCAAAGGAGCAAGGCCGTCCGCTCCAGTCGAGTCTTAAAGCCGCCTCCTCTTACTTGGCAGGACCGTTTGACGGCGCGTACGATCGGTGTCAGGTCTGTACGCTGGGCCAGCGGATGGGCCAAGTCCAGGGATTTCAGGCGTGCTGCAAATCGAATGCGTCGGGCCTCAAGAAGCAAGGGCACGGGAGGGATACCGCTCTCCTGATGGTATATCGGAACCGGCGTGGTCTTCCACACGGGGAGGATGGCCCGAATGGCCCGGCGGAGGACGGGGTCGAGCTTGTCGACCAGGTGCTGAATCTGAGGCCGAACTTTCTTCGTGCCGTGCCAAGCCGTGTAGCTCTCAGTGCCGGTATACCAAGCTTCCATGCCATACAGCAGGATGGGCTCGACACATGCCTCGACCGCCCGCCTGACTGCGACCGGGAGAGGGCCATGCTTCGTATTGCAGAGGCCGTGTAGGTGGCCTGCCACCTTTTTCACCTTAGCCGCCCACTTCTCGATGTGTGTTCGGAAGGTCAGCTTCTTGTCCAGCCAGATCCCTAACCAGCGGATCGCTTCTGCTGGAACCTTGGCAATACCGCCGTGTGTTACCGACGGGCTCGTGTCGTCCTTCTTGTGGCTGAAGTGCATCACTTCTGTCTTTTCGGGGTCAAAGGTGATGCCATTCGCCGCACCCCAGGAGATGAGTTCCCGCACATCAGCCGTCGCGAGCTTTGCTGTCTCTCTCAGAGTCCGGCCGGTCCCGAGGATGGCGGTGTCGTCCGCGTAGCCAAACCGTCCTAGCTGGAAGCCTAGCTTGTAAATGGGCTCGGTACAGAGAAGGAAGAGGATCGGAGATGCTGGCGAACCCTGTGGGAGTCCGCATAGTAG